AATCACACAAGAGAAAAAATAAAGGGCATCCAAATCGATAAAGAGGAAGTCAAACTATCCCTATTTGCTGACACTATGATCATTTATCTTGAAAACCCTAAAGATTCCTCCAGAAAGCTCCTAGAACTGATAAAAGAATTCAGCAGTTTCTGCATACAAGATTAATATACACAAATCAGCAGCTCTTCTATATACCAACAGCGACCAAGCAAAGAATCAAATCCAAAACTCAACCCCTTTTACAAGAGCTGCCAAAAAATAAAAATAAAATACTTAGGAATATATCTAACTAAGGAGTCAAAAGACCTCTACAAGGAAAACTACAAAAAACTGCTGAAAGAAATCATAGACGACACAAACAACTAGAAACACACCCCATAATCATGGATGGGTAGAATCAATATTGTGAAAATGACCATATTGCTAAAAGCAATCTACAAATTCAATGCAATTCCCATCAAAATACCACCATCATTCTTCACAGAATTAGAAAAAAAAATTATAAAATTCATATGAAACCAAAAAAGTGCCTGCATACCCAAAGCAAAACTAAGCAAAGAGAACAAATCTACGGGCATCACATTACCTGATCGCATACTATAAGGCCATAGTCACCAGAACAGCATGGCACTGATATAAAAATAAACACCCAGACCAATGGAAGAGAATAGAGAACCCAGAAATAAAATAATCACAAATACTTACAGCCAACTCATCTTCGACAAAGCAAACAAAACCATGAAGTGAGAAAAGGACACCCTTTTCAACAAATGGTGCTGGGATAATTGGCTAGTCACATGTAGGAGAATGAAACTGGAGCCTCATCTCTCACCTTACACAAACATCAACTCAAGATGGATTAAGGACTTAAATCTAAGACCTGAATCTATAAAAATTCTAGAAGATGACATTGGAAAAACCCTTCTAGACATTGGCTTAGGCAAGGATTTTATGACCAAGAACCCAAAACAAATGCAATAAAAACAAAGATAAATTGCTGGGACTTAATTGAATTAATGTGCTTCTGCAAACCAAAAGGAACAGTCAGCAGAGTAAACAGATAACCCACAGAGTGGGAAAAAAATCTTCACAATGTATACATCTGACAAAGGACTAATATCCAGAATCTATAACGAATGCAAACAAATCAAAAAGAAAAAAACAATCTCATCAAAAAGTGAGCTAAGGACATGGATAGACAATTCTCAAAGAAGATATACAAATGGTCAAAAAAAAATAAGAAAAAGTGCTCAACATCACAAATGATCAGGGAAATGCAAATCAAAACTATAATGCAGTACCACCTTACTCCTGCTAGAATGGCCATAATCAAAAAATCAAAAAATAGTAGATGTTGTCATGGATGTGATGAAAAGGGAACTTTTCTACACTGCTTGTGGGAATGTAAACTAGGACAACCACTGTGGAAAACAGTGTGGAGATTCCCTAAAGAACTAAAAGTAGAACTACCATTTGATCCAGCAATCCCATTCCTGGGTATCTACCCAGAGGAAAGGAAGTCATTATATGAAAAAGCTACTTGCACACATGTGTTTATAGCAGCACAATTCACAACTGGAAAAATGTGGAACCAACCCAAATGCCCATCCATCCACAAGTGGATAAAGAAACTGTGGTATAGGTTACTTTATTATTTATTTAATAAAATAAAATAAAATAATGAATTAAATATGGTATCTGTAGCAAAGTCCAATTCCTACTTTACTGATGAAAAAAAATTAAACTTCAGAAGGGTGAAAATGCAAAGAGAAGCAGTATGGCACAGGAATTAACAACAAGGACTTTGAAGTTAGATCAACATAGGTCTGGATTCTTATTTTACCACCTTATAACTATAAATCCTTGGGCAAGTTAATTACCATAATTTCTACCTCTACCATTGATCTTCTCATCTCTAAAATGGGAAGAATAATATCTCCCTTACAAAGTTGTTAAGATTAAATGAGATAATAGATGGAAAGCAGTTAGCATAATTCCTGGCACATAGTAAATACACAATAAACGGAATATCACTTAATTTACATATTTCTGTAATCATTTTCATATTATTGTAGTCTTGCTCAAAGCTATAAACTACCCTTTCAAATAATACTTATAATTTACTATGCTCTGCAATCCCGATAAAAAATCTTACTAGATGTTTGCAATTTTTAATATACAATTAAAGTATATAAACAGTTAGCAATGACTACAGTACACACAGCTCTTCATAGCACACAGCCACAGCCCAAACACCTTTCATCAACTATTGAAAACTCATCCAGTTTGGGTACCTTGAGGAAACAAGGAACTTTGTGTGATAGCCTTAAAGAACACAAATCTATAAACTGAGAACTAAATTAACAATACCTAAGCTGTCTTTTGCAGTACAGGATTATAAATTAGCACAGTCAAGGATATTCCAGGGCTAGTCAGCATTTCAGAAGTTCTGAATTTTTGCAAGGAATTGAAGTATACAAAGGTGTATACTTCATCTTTCATACTATCTCAATCTGGAAGGAAGAACTAAAAGCTGTCATTTCACATATTCATCCAATTTTTTCCTAAGTATGTAAACAGTATCAGTACGTAAGGTAGAGTTTATTTATTTACTAATATTATGAAATCTCACTTCAAAATATCATAAATATACTAAAACAAAGCAGAAACGAATTTTGAAATGCAGTGAGAGGTAGCAGAAAGTATACTGGTGTGAGAAGCGGTACCATTTTCTGACTGTGTCTCTGCATGGTTATTCTATCCGACTCTTAGTTTTCTCAATTGCAAACTATAGGTTCCTTCCTTGTTTAAATAGCAAGGTAACTGTCATATTCAAATAACTTAATAATGGAGGGAAAACTCTGAAGAACTAGAAAGAGCTATTAACATACAACTTCATCTATAGAGCAAATTTTTAGAGAAATGAAGTCCTTGCTGAAAGATAACATAATTATATCCACTAACAAATCTATAATGAGCCAAAAATTACAATACTAATTTAGTTTTCATTTTGCTGCAATGAATGCCTTTCTAAAATTGTGTTATGTGGCATTTTAAGAGGATTCTCATAACTCTATGCTTGTCCCAGATGATATAATTTAAAATATACCTTCTAAATCAGCATCTTAAAGGTATGTAGAAAAAATTTAATCTTTGAGTAACTTTATTAAAGAGATTCACAGATTAGTTTCTAAATTTGTTCTTTTATTAAGTTAAATTTTAAGTGAATATCACCACTCAACTAGACTACTGGTTTAAAAAATCTTAAAATGATAGGAACATTGCAATATCCAAATAGTTTTACCATCACATATCTGGAATACGTAATTTTTTTAAAACTTCAAATGCATACAAATTTAAGACAAAGATAAATAAATATATTTACAGAAATTCCAAGTACCAGCAGCTAACTCTTCTTAATGGAATATGGGTATACTAGCTCCATATTTCTCTAACAATCTCTGGTACAAACTGATCAAAGTAGAAGAAAGATAGTTTATTTTCTCAAAAGCCTTGTATATGTGTCCCACTAGGTTCTTTCCTTCCTATTGACAAAGACTTATAGATGTCTGAAATTTTCTCCCAGGAAAATAGATATGAACTATACATGGAGATGAAACTAACACTAAAATGCAGTTTACATATTTTTAAAAAATAAATGTGCATTCCACATACTGCTAGTTTGATATTTCTAAAACTCTTCTGATATTTCTAAAACCCTTTTCTCCATTACTTACAAAATTGATTTGAACTGTCTTTTCGATTTTTCTTCTCAATTTTATCCTGAAATCAAAAAGCCAAACTGTCCTCACATAAAAGGCAAGATACTTAGTTTACTTCTTTAGATTCCAGAATGCAAATAAAATGTCCAACAAAATACCATTTCTGGAACTGAATGAGTAATTTTGGTTTACTCAATGATTACACTTTAGGATAAAATTAAAATGCAGAAATAAATGTTTCTCCCTCTTATCTTTCTAAAATTTTAAGTCCTGAATAGAAATGAAAATAAAACAGCCTCATATCAAAGTTAAGCAAAGACTGAAGAAAGCAGAAGTCTCCTGTTTTACATATAGCAAGTCTCAGGTAGAAAACATCTATCCAAAGCCATACACAAAAGAGTTCTCCAGTTTCCTTATTTGACGTTTCTAGTATCTCTTTTCCTGGTTGTCACCAAAGTTACTGAACATATAATTGGTTCTTACAGGGAAAATAAATGTTAGACAGAGTGTCTAGAGATGCAACTCTGGTAAGAAGCAATCTCCTTCTTTTATCCAGCAAACATTTAATGAGCATTTGATAAGTGTCCAGTACTATATTAGGAATAAAGAAAAAATAAGAAATAAAATATAGTTCCTATCCTCAGGAAGTTTGCTGCAGGGAGGAAGAGAAACTAAAAATCACAATATAGTGTGATAAATGTTATGATATACTAACAAGCTGTTTAGCAAGACAAAGAAAGGGATCATATATAGATTTGGAGGGTGGAATCAAGGAAGGCTTCCTTAAAAAAAAAAAGGAGGATAGTTTCCAAGACAAGAAAACAAACAGGATGTATACAACAGTATACACATTCAGTAAGCTGAAAACAGTTCCCTAAATCTGAAGTACGTTGTGAATATGGAGGAATAGACAGACACAAAGTTAGCGATAAGCAAAGATGAGATCATTAACGGCCTTGTGTGCCAAACTAAGAAGTTTGAACTTTATCCAGGAGATTATGTGGAGCCACTGAAAGATGTTAAACTAGTAAGTGGCAAGCAAGATCTACCTTTTAGAATAAATATTTTGACAACAATATAAAGAATAAAACAAGAAGAAAAAGGCTATGTAAAGGAAACCTAATCAAGTTACTACCATAGTAATAAAAGGCACGAAGTTATTAGGGCTTGAACTGATGCGCTGGCAATAAAGATGGAGAAGAGATCCTTTAAAAGACAGATTTAGGGGTTAAAAATAACTATATATGGTGGCGCAGCACAGGGCAGCGCAGGGTCACCATGGCAGAGCTACAGCAGCTGCAGGTGCAGGAGGTGGCAGACTCCATGGTGAAGAGTCTGGAGAAAGAGAACATTCAGAAAATGCAGGGTCTCATGTTCCAGTGCAGCACCTGCTGTTGTGAAGACAGCCAGGCCTCCCTGCAGCAGGTGCACCAGTGCATCAAGCGCTGCCATGTGCCTCTGGCTCAAGCCCAGGCTTTGGTCATCAGTGAGTTGGAGAAGTTCAAGGACCGCCTGGTCCGGTGCACCATGCAATGCAATAACAAAGCCAAAGATTCAACAGATGCTGGGAGTAAGGAGCTTCAGGTGAAGCAGCAGCTAGACGGTCGTGTGACCAAGTGTGTGGATGACCACACGCACTACATCCCAACTACGACCAAGAAGATGAAGGAAGCTCTCTTAGCCATTGGGAAATAAAAATCTTTGCCAGTAGCCATCGGGGCTGAGGGCAAGAACATATTTTTTATAAGGAATTGGGAACTTTAGTCTTTTAAGCAAAGTTTATGAATGAAGAATGAAAGGATGGCCACAAGTGTAAGGCATATGTCACTTGCCTCTAGACACTGGTTCTTTTATGTTTCAGTCCTAAAAAGTGAAATGGAAAAAAGTGGTCAGAGATATTACAGGAGAGTTTTAGAGCTTATATTTCCTGTGGCCAGCGCTTGTCCTGGCAGTAAGGATCTTCCCTGTAACAAGTCAGAGTCCTCTGAGGCACCAGACTCTTCTTACTACACAGGTACCAACAGGCTGGCAGGTTAGAGTTGGTAGAATTTGAGGACAGATATTTTCTCTTTGTTGCCAACATCCTGTTTACCAGAAGTGTCACCACACCATTTTCCATAAGCTGTGAAACAAAATCCATGAGGTCACTAACTTAGAAGGGAAAAACGTTTTCTGGGTCTTTGTTTTCTTGGTTTTGTTTAATTTATACAAGGGCATACAAGCTGATTTTAAGATGTGGAATTGGTAGGGAGACTAGTTTGGATAAGAACTTTGAAAGGTTCCTTGTGGATCCCCATTTCTGATCATCAAGATGTGGATGTACATTTCTTAAAATTATTACATGCTGCATCTTTCATCCTGGAGACTGTGCAAAAACATGAGAGGCGACGACACACTAATTATTGGGAAGCATAATTACTGGCTGATGGACCCTGAGGCTGTATGTAGCAAAATGAAAGGACAATCTTGCAGTAACACTTTCCCCTTGGAAGAGAAAGGGGTTTGACTGTGATATATATTGGTATTTAGGAATGAACAGTAAAAGAGCAGCAGTTGGCTACTTGATTATAAAAGAGTTATGAAGTACTGGATTTGGAAAAACCTGGATTTTATAGAATAGATAGAATGAAAGCCTAAACCTAGCATTGCGTACTTAGCCTCCTGAATTAACAAAGCCCAACTGAGACAAATCCCTGGCAACAGGAGATTCAAGGAAGAAAAAGTAAGCAACTTGGGCTAGGATGAGCTGACTCCTTTAAAGCAAAGGAGAGGCAGCCCTCATTACCAAATGCCATTTCTGCCTGGGGCTGTTGCAACACAGTGTTCCTAACCCAGCATGGCACCTTACTGTTTTGATATCAACCTCATTGTATTTTCACCAACTTACTACTTGAAATGATAATATTGCCTGTCCATTTACTGTTTCCAGACTGTGATATATTTTCCTAGTGGTTTGGTTTTAAAAATAAATAAGGTTTAATTATCTGCTCCCACCCCCCAAAAAAATACAAACATACATATAACATATATATATATGTTAAATGACTGGATATAAGGATAAGGAAAAAAGAGGAGTCAAAGACAATTCCCAAGTTAAAATTTGTAAGTGGTGTCAATCACTCAGATAGGTAGGGAATACAAAAACAGGTACAAGTTTGAGAAAAGATGAGGTTCTAATGAGATCACTTGGACACAGGAAGGGGAGCATCACACACCGGGGCCTATTGTGGGGAGGGGTAAGGGGGAGGGATAGCATTAGGAGATATACCTAATGTAAATGACGAGTTAATGGGTGCAGCACACGAACATGGCACATGTATACATATGTAACAAACCTGCACGTTGTGCAAAAGTACCCTAGAACTTAACGTATAATTTTATATATATATATATATATATATATATTTTTTTTTTTTTTTAAAGAAGTCAGGAAAAAAAAAAAAAAGAAGTCAGAAAAAACAAAAAAAGAAAGAAAGATGAAGTTCTCACTTTACAACAAGTTGAGTTTAGGACACCTGGAGCTGAGGAAAGAGGTCTAGACTAGCTGGTAGTTCACCCACTAACTGAACAAAAAACAACAAATATTTTAAAACACAGCAAAAAACAAATTAGAATCTTACTGGGACTCTTTACTTCACATTATATTTAAATTTCATGAACACATAAATCTATATGCTAAAAATTCCTAGTGGTAAAACTATTATTCTGAGAGAATGGACCACCACACTGTTCTGATTGGAAAAAGGATAGACACAGGATGAGGACATTGATGAGTTTGTTGTCATTTGAAGAGAGTTTAAAACTTCCTTTCGAAAGAGTCAAAGATATTAGAAGGTCATTGCTTTAAGTAGCCCCTTTATTTACATCTGTCAGTACAGTAAGAGATTAGTTAACTTGTACTGGGGAGAAAATCTGCTAGAATATAGAATGAGAGCAAGCTGCTTCATAAATTACTGATGCTAAGCTGTCTGACTCTAAGATTTACAGTGTTTTAGAAAATTAAATGTATATCAGGTATGAGCTAATAAGAAATTTCTTCGTTAAACTTAGCTTTTTAAGATTTTTGCCTTTTTTAAAGAAGTATCCTCTTTAAAAATTAATGTATAATATGCTCAGATGTTTTAACAAGAATTCTACTTTTATTTTAAAAATAACTGTGTTGAAAGTTAGCAGTTTTTATCTGGGTCTTGGCTTCAGGCACTTATATACTGTCATTCAGATTACAGACCATATAACCAAAGTACTGTGTAGCTAATTATAGATTATTCTAACTGAAAATAAAGTACCTTCCCCCCAAAACATTCATTTAATGGCTGAAACTGTAAATAGTAATATATAAAAGATATTGTTATAGATTCCTAGAGCTAATTCCTAGTTTTCAGCCCCAAACTCCCATATAATTCTTTCAAAATACACAAAACAAAATTGGTTTTGTTACTTTACAAAATTAAACTGAATATTTACTATTAAAAACCCAGAGGCAATATTTTAACATCATCTCCTTTTTTAAAAATTCATTTAAAATACAAGCTCACAAAAGTCAAAAGTGGTTAGGATCTAGATTAGATAACATTTTGAAAGGATGTTAAAGATGAAGAAAATATTAATGCATATATATACACACACATTTATATGCATATAATACATACACACACATGTATATATATGTATCTTCATTTTAATCATAAAATCCCTAAAAAGATGTGTACATGAATCAAATTATAATAAAATAAGTTAAATGTACTAATGATACTTGTTTTTAAATATAATTCCACATCAATCTGCTTAATGAAGTACAGAAACATCAGCTAACTTTGTAAATTAAGAGAGTCAGCTTTAAGATTTGCTTTAGAGGGTGGTATGCCTATATATGCAAATCTTCTTTGAGGTCATTTCAACAATTTTATCGTTAGGAGTACGGGATTCATATTATTTCAAATGTGGTAAGTTGAACAAAATCAATACTGAACAACATACCTTTCAGATAAATTAAGGCTTTGGTGAAGAGGTTCTAATTTTTGGCATGTCTCTAGGCTGTCAACAGATGTCGAAGGCAATGAGTCTGATTGCACCTTGTTGGCATCACATAAATTAGCATCGTTTCTAGGTAGGGTCTTTCTGAATTTTCGTCCTAAATCCGTCCATAGGACATTCGTCAACATAACTTTGAGTTGCCTGTTATACACATAAATAATTAGTATATATGGTACTACATATTGTAGAATACATGAATTCATCACAAACTAGTATCTCCAGAAATTCTAAATTTCAAGCAACTATAGTAAATACCCTAAGAAAAAAGAAAAAATGCCCAACTATTATGAAAGACACCTTAAAAAGTAAAGTCTATTTCACTTAAGTTCAGATTTTCTTCAGAATTCTGTCAAGTATACTACAACTATCATTACACATGTACAGCTGCTAGACTCCTGGCAACGCATTCATGTTTATTAACAATGTTAGTGGAAGGACAGTGTTCATTTGCAGATCTCACCACAGATGTAACCACTGTTTGCACTAAAAATGTGTTTTTGTTTTAGCATTTGTTGATTCAGAAAACATTATTAAAACTAAGGGTGCACTACTGCATCATTTACATTCTTAAGCTTATAGAGTCTTAAGATATAGATTTAATTTTACCTTATTTCTAAAATAGGTCAACTTATAACATTTACCTTACTGTACCTATACCAATTTCAAAAAAAAAAAAAAGACTGATAAATGCAAGCAGTTCCAGCAACAGTTTTGCTCATCATGTTTTACCCATCTTCTCATTCAATACATTTTTATGCTGAATACTTGAATAACTATGTTTAGTTCTGGAATTCCAAAAACTGTGGAATATAGTTTCTGTAGTGGTGTGAACAGGCTACAAGTGCACTTAAAACAATGTCAAGTGAGGAATGGCTGAAAGTACTGTGAAATGTTTAATCAGAAGAGTGTCTATTTTACTACCTATGAAACAGTTTTAGGCATTTTTTGTTTGCTTAACGAACACAAGAATATTAAGAAACAGCAATATGTTCATGTATTTTCAAGATAAAACAGGAACTCTCAAAAAAAAAAAAAAAAAAAAAAAAAAAAAACACTTGTTTTCAGCAGCCACTTGAGTGTATATCCCCAGACCATCTAGCAGGAAGAGGGTAAAGTCTCCAGGGAACTTCCACAGAACATACTGAAAACTCCAAACATGTTGCACAAAAAAAAAAAAAAAAAGAAAAAGAAAAAACACCAACATGGCACATGTATACATATGTAACAAACCTGCACATTGTGCACATGTACCCTAGAACTTAAAGTATAATAAAAAAAATTAAAAAATAAAAAACAAAAATAAAAAATAAATAAATAAAAGTTAAGCTATTAGTTTAAAAATCATTTAAAAATAAATGAGTGACATCTCTATGGATCAATAATAATTCATTCTACAAGCACTTACTGAACATCTTCCAGCAAAACAACTATGCTAGTATAATCTGGAGTTTCTGCTACAAACAAAATAGTTGAGTTTTTAAAGCCTTCATGGGTTGTGCATTACAGAGAAGAATAAACCAATTCATTATTTAATTAGAATTATAATATGTGCTATGAAGAAAAAATACAGATGTTGCATTTCTTCTGAGACAAGTTTCTGAGAATATGACCTTGAAGCTGAAGTCTCAAAGAAGGACAGGCACTATCCAAAGGAAACAAGT